GTCTCACTCTGCCGCCCAGGCTGGAGTGCAGTGGCACGATCTCGGCTCACTGCAACCTCTGCCTCCCAGGTTCAAGCAGTTCTGCCTCAGCCTCCCGGGTATCCGGGATTACAGGCGTGTGCCACCACGCCCAGCTAATTTATTGTATTTTTAGCAGAGATGGGGTTTCACTGTGTTAGCCAGGATGGCCTCGATCTCCTGACCTTATGATCCGCTCGTCTCAGCCTCCCAAAATGCTGGGATTACAGGCGTGAGCCACTGCGCCCAGCTGGAAGCTTGCTTCTTTAGCTGAAGGAGAGGGGCTCATGCCATCAACCAGTTACTTGACCAGCAGAGAATACTCCCAAAATTGCTTCCTAGAATCTCTTTTGGGTTCTACCACAGCATTTTGGATGGGTCTTGTGAGCCTCTGCTTCATGATCCTGGTTTCAGATTTAAAATTTATAAAGTTAGTTTATGGCCATGTCCATGTACAACAAAATGGTGAAAAATCAGCATTGGCCATTAATTACAAAGTATAGACAACAAAGTGAGGTGCTCAACTTGAGATTCAGGTAGATGTCTTTCCTACTAATTTCCCCTCCTCTGTCATGGTCACAATATGATGTCCTCATGGCCTTCTGGGATGAATATATATACACCTGTTTCTTTTGCTATAAAATTAAGTAAAATTTTGGTTTGTGTGCTGCTGAAAGAGTTTGGAATGGTATATGTAGCTCAAAGCTTAGACCTGCTTGAAATTTTTCCGTGATTGCTCATGATTTGGAAGCTTTTTGCTCAGTTCTTCTGGATCAGCTAAGCCTCGATGTTCTTCAAAATGAAAGAGAATTGTCTTCATGAATTTTCTAGCTAGCTCATGCCTATTTGAACAGTTTACCTTAACCTTTCGTGTACGCAACTGTGGACCTTTAAAAGTTGTGCTATCTTAAATTTTAAATGTAAGTGTTCTGTCCATGAAGCCTTATGAGATACAGGACCCTGGATACTTTTTTTTACTGTACTTATTTTTAACTGTGACACTTTGTTAGTGATTAGCTAATTTTGGTCAAGTCTTTGAAAATATGCCTGGAAGGCTGGGTGCAGTGGCTCACGCCTGTAATCCCAGCACTTTGGGAGGCTGAGGCTGGCAGATGACGAGTTCAGGAGTTCGAGACCAGCCTGGCCAAGATGGTGAAACCCTATCTCTACTAAAAACACAAAAAAATTAGCCGGGCATGGTGGCATGCGCCTGTAGTCCCAGCTACTCTGGAGGCTGAGGCAGAAGAATCCTGAACCCAGGAGGCGGAGGTTGCAGTGAGCCAAGATCGAGCCACTGCACTTCAGGCTGGGTGACAGAGTGAGATTAAAAAAAAAAAAAAAAAAAGAGGCATGGGAAAAAAGAGGCAGAAGTTGTAATCTGGTAAGCACTTGGATGATTTGGATGATTTCTGTTGAATTTTGACCCTCCTCCTCTCCTTTCCCAATTATTTTTATGAGCTGATGTGCTTATAGGGGCTGAAAGCCTGTCTGTGTTTCAGTTCATCATTGTTGCCTCCAGACCCTCACAGCTCCTTTGATTTGAGGGGGGTGAATGCTTAGTAGTTATTTATTCACTCACCTCTGGAGGGGATGTGTGGCCAAGGCTATGGAGTAGTCTCAGGCCTTATATGTATGTGTGTTGGCTAATACACAAACACACAAAATCCGGTACAGACCATGTACACACTTGCACAAATATTGGGATTACTAGGTATTTAAAAGAGGGTCAGTTTTTCTAACATAGCTGGCAGAAATTTTGAAGAGTCTAAGTTACTGTATTACACAGTTTATCAAAAAGTCATTAGTGGTGGTTCCAAAATTACCAGAAGTCCGAAAAGCAGAGCTTCCCTGCTGAGTGATCCTAGCTTATGTTACACGCTGGTTATGAGTGGCTGGGTAGGCCCAAAATGCTTGTTTTTGAGTGCTTGGCAGGCAGTAACACCCTTAAAATGAAAAAAATGTAACCACTTGGTATAATTCTTAACATACTAAAAACCAAAAAAAAAAATGTATGCTTACGTTGGACTTATTCTGTCTTGACTTTCATTAGGTTGATGTATTAAATGAATTTTGTGTTTTCTTATTGTAAGGATTAGAATCTTTTGCTCTTGGAAAGGCTAACAGTTGATGTTTGAGCAGAAAGATAAGTGTCTTGAGTGGCAGCTTCATTTACTTGGGAATGCTCGTCTTCCTTGTCAAAGCAAAGCCGTATCTTTGTGTCTTCTCCCTTTTGAAGGGAAACAATTGGGATTCTGTTGCAAATCTGAAATCTGTGGCAGATGTCAGAATGTACCATTTACAAAGCCCAGGGTCCCTAGAGCAAAGTGTTTCACTGGTTTTTTGTTAATTTTCTTGCCTTTGGGCAGTTCTCATAAGAATGGAAAGAAAGTTAATTTCTCTATAGCATACTTTTTCTTTTTGACTTATAGCAGGAAATATGGGTATCTGTTAGTGTTCTGTATTTTAAGTAATTTTGTTGCAATGTTCTGATCAAATGTTTATGATAGCATGGGCTCCTAGACTATTGATGGCAGGGACTTCTGTGAAGCCAGTTGTCTGTTTCCTTGTATAAGGGCTGTATGACCATTAATCCTTGTCTGAGGGGTGCTTTGACAGTCTGGGGGATATGTGTGCCTGTCTCAGCCATCGGTGACAAGTCTGGCTGGCTCATCAAGTCCATGCTCGTACTGGTCTACTGACAGCTTCCTTCCCTATCCCTTTGGTTGACTCGCCATGTGGCTCACATGGGTCCAGCCTCTATGTACTGATGAACCTTATGCTTTCTTACCAGGAAGAGGAAGAACAGGAGGAAGAAGATGATGATGAAGATGATGATGACACTGATGATTTAGATGAACTTGACACTGACCAGTTGCTGGAGGCAGAGTTGGAGGAGGACGACAATAATGAGAATGCAGGGGAAGATGGGGACAATGACTTCTCACCCTCTGATGAGGAGCTAGCAAACCTTCTAGAGGAGGGAGAGGACGGGGAGGATGAAGACTCTGATGCAGATGAGGAAGTGGAACTGATCCTGGGGGACAGTAAGTATAGGTCAGAGTTCAGGCTGCACCTTGGCACCCAGGGCAAGATCCCTTCTTTTGTGCCCATACAACTTAGAGGGCAAGCCATACCACAGTTCTGTGCCCCATAACTTGATTTACTTCTATGGTCTCTTAAGGCAAAGCACCTTTGCATCTCTGCTCTCCTGCTCTCCTATCAGACTGTGGAACCCAACCAAATGGCTGTTATCTCTTATCTTTCAAGTAGAGATTGGCAGACTTTTTCAGTAAAACCAGACAGTAAATATTTTATGCAGCCGGGCATGGTGGCTCATGCCTATAATCCCAGCTTTGGGAGGCTTAGGTGGGTGAATCACCTGAGGTCAGGAGTTTGAGACCAGCTTGGCCAGCATGGTGAAACCCCGTCTCTACTAAAAATACAAAAATTAGCTGGGCATGGTGGCGCACGCCTGTAGTCCCAGCTACTCGGGAGGCTGAGGCAGGAGAATTGCTTGAACCCAGGAAGCTGAGGTTGCGGTGAGCCAAGATTGCACCATTGCACTCCAGCCTGGGTAACAAGAGCGAAACTCTGTTTCAAAAAAGAAAAAAAGAAAAGAAAAAGAAAAAGTAAAAATACAAAATTAGCCGGGTGTGGTGGTGCATGCCTGTAATCCCAGCTACTTGGGAGGCTGAGGCAGGAGAATCACTTGGAAGGCGGAGGTTGCAGTGAGCTGAGACAGTGCCACTGCACTCCAGCCTGGGCTAATAGAGTGAGACTCCATCTCAAAAAAAATTTTTTTCTTAATGCTGTGTAGGCCATGTGGTCTTTGTTGTAGCTCTTCAGCTCTCCTGTTATAGTGAGAAAGCATAGACAATATGTAAATGAATGATTGTGGCTGTGTTCTAATAAAACTTTTTGCAAAAATAGGTGGTGGATTTGTAGTTTGTCAAGTCCTGCTTTAGAGGATTAGCCCTAGAATGTAAGGCCAAAGTGTAGCTCTCTTCCGAGAGGTGGGGCTAGAATTGGTCAGAAGCAGCCCCGCATGGGATGCTGTTCTTTTCAGCGTGACTTATAAAGAAATGTAGGCCCTCTTGTGGAGGAGCCCTTTTCTGTCTCCTTTTGGCTAATCCCTCCTAAAGGTCAAGGGACAAATATTTCCCTTTGGTTTCTGTTTTATTCACTTCCTTTTATTTACCTCTTACTAAGGCTGCATTTTTTTTTTTTTTAATGAGACAGAGTCTCACTTTGTCACCAGACGCCAGGCTGGAGTGCAGTGGCACGATCTCGGCTCACTGCAACCTCTGCCTCCCGGTTTCAAGCAGTTCTCCTGCCTCAGCCTCCCGGGTAGCTGGGACTACAGGCGCATGCCACCATGCCTGGCTAATTTTTGTATTTTTAGCAGAGACGGGATTTTACCATGTTGGCCAGGATGGTCTCGATCTCTTGACCTCATGATCCACCCGCCTTGGCCTCCTAAAGTGCTGGGATTACAGGCTGGAGCCATGGCGCCTGGCCTTACCAAGGCTGTATTTTGAGGAAGCTTGGGGGTGGGAGGGTGGGGGAGTGTCTTTTGTTGTCTGTTCATCTGCTATTGATCAACTTCTATTTTTTCATACTTGGAGGCTGAGGTGGTTCAATGGAGCAAGCCCAAGCCATGGTCACGCACAGGGCGAGTTTTAATGAACGTTTATGTCATATGTGAATAGTGAGATGTGGGAAACAAGTTATACCTCCTTTTGATTACAAGTAGTTAGCAAAGCAGGTTCGCAGGGTCAGCAAACAGCAAGCCAGCTGATGGTGGTGCTCCCAAAATAAGAGAGGATCACTTTCATTTTCCACTCTTAATTTGAATATAAAGCCACTCAGTTTATATTTGGCCTGTACAATTACTGACTCTTTTAGCTGTTTAGGAAATTCCTTCTTTCAAGCTAAAGGTAATCTGGAAAACTTTAACTCGATCAGCTGTGAGAATATTGTTACTTTATGAGAATATTTACTATGTGAAAATAATGGATCACAACTTGAGGATGTCTCAGAGTGGACTTCAGAATTGTGGTGGAGATGCAGAGGTGGCGTCTGGTGCATACTCCCTTGCTCTTTCTGTGTTTCATAGACGATCCCAGCTGCTATCAGCAAGCAGAGCATTCTTAGCACCCATGGTTTTCCTCACATGAATCCTTTAGAGCAGTAGCTCTGAACCTTATTGAGCTTATAAGAAGAGCCCTTTTAGGATGAGGTAAAAGCCATAGAAACTATAGAAAATCACGCCCATGTACCCCCATGTACCTTTACATAGGCCCTGGAGCCTGCAGGGACTCCATGATTCCAGATGCAGAGCCCTGGCCCTAGGAAGAGAAGCACCTTGATTCTGAGATCTTCATGTATCTCTGCTTATGAGCCCTGCCTCCAAAACCTGTATGTTGTAGAGCAATAGGTTAAACATTACAGGGATTAATTATATCTAGATTGCCTTTACCTTTGAGACTTTTCAGAATGGGAGATCCCAACCAGGGTTTGGGATTGGGTCACTTCAACACTTGGAGAATGGGGAAAGGCTAAGGAAGGTAGAGAAAGTTGGTGCCCAAGCCCTGGAGGTTTTCTCTCAAACCCTGAGCCTGACAGTTATTTGCTTTAAGAAGATTGTGCTGTGATCTTAAGCTGCATTTACAGTCCTTAGATGTGCTACAGCGTATTTAAGATTCTTAGTTCTTAAAAGATGCACAGCTGCTGGGCAGAAGGGTCTGGCATCGTTGGCTTGCGGAGAACATGAGTCCTGGGGGATGCTGTGGATGCTGCCATGGGGACCAGGCAAGTTTCTGTTGTGGGGTGGGGACACGGTGCTGGGCTTGGCTCTGAGGAGGAGGCCCTACACCCTCCTGTGACGCTGCCTCTTGGAGCTCTTACAGCAGAGGAGCTGAGGCTTGCTTTGTTCAGGTGTGTTAGGTAATAGTTCTTTGCCATCTCCATCTTGTTTTCCTGTTCTTCACCAATAAAGTCAGGCCACTCTTGTGCCCAGTTAGGTCCAGGAACACTGGTTTTGTCAGCCATTTTTTTTGGTTATTTCAAGACTTTCTTGTATCACTGCCATGCTTTTCTTGGTTTTCCTTTGTCTACTTCAATTTTCTTCCTAAAGGAAATTGTGTTTGGAGATGGTGAATGAAGGAAGGCTTGGGAACTCTCTATCCAGGAGTTGATTGTCTTAGGCACTGGAAGAGGCTGATGAGGGATTCTTTGCATCTAGTAGCTGCCCCTTTCCGCATGGGACATTTGCAGGGCTCCAGCTCAGGCTTTGTCTACTTGCCTGGGGTCCTGGTTAAAATGGTTTCCTAGCCTCCTGAGCTACGAGTAATCAAATTGGGCACTGAGAACTTTCCTTTTCTTTCACTCAGCAAATATTAGAGTCCCTACAGGCTAGTTACCATGTTTCTCTCTGATTTTGATCAGCCGGACATGGCGTATCTACCTTATCTTGAGGGTCCTTTTTGCTACCACTTAAGGTTCACCCCTTAATAGATCCAGAAGTGTTAATGTGTCCGTGTGCTGCCAGAGAAGGCAGATTGTCAAGCAGAGAGGGACCTCATCAGAGACAGTGCTGTCTTCCAGGGCATCACACTGTTTCCGCTGGCCTCCTGCCTCTGGATGGGTAGCTGCTTCTCCTGTATTGCTGCAAACTGGCCTGCACCTTTTTGGGAATATAATTTGCAGATTATATTCTGAAATGAATCTAGGTTGACTATCTCTGCCTTGGTGCAGTTGGTCTTCTGAGGATTGAAGGGAGGAGTGACTAAGGTGTTTAAGAAAAGATAAATCTCTCACTTTTGCCTGGTCTTAGCTTGCCTTTCTAGTGGTCTCTTGGGGTCATTAATGGGCCTGTGCCCATTTTGGAAGGATACCAGAGGCCAGGGGCCATGGAGGCTCACTTACTGCTCTCCTCAGTTCTTCCCCTTTGCAGCCATTTAAAGTGACATGGGGGGAAGCTTCAGATGGCACTTGCTCGATCCCTTCAGCGCCTCCCAGGCAGGAAGCAGGGCACTTTGTCCAGGCCCTTAGGAGAGCAAAAGGTCCCAGGGAGAATACAGCTGCCAGGCAACAGGAGTGTTCTCCAGAGCCAGCTCCAAGGAGTTAATTGGTGTGTTTTCTTCTTTCTAGAAACTGGTAGTTAACCTTGCTTGGTCATAAATGTATGTGAGTGCGGGTGTGTGCTTCCTGAAAGCTTTCTATAAGCCTAGTGCGTAATCTTGTCTCTCCCTTTTCTTCCGTTTCAGCTGATAGCTCTGACAACTCTGATTTGGAAGATGACATCATCTTATCTCTGAATGAGTGAGGAGCCATCACTACTTGGAAGAGATTCTTGGCAGGCGAGAAACTGAGTCAAATGAATTCAGAACATATTCCCTTCCCTTTCTCCCAGGGCTGTCTTTTAAGGAACTACATGCCCTGCATTCAGAGGATTATGACTTAGAAAGTCTTAGCGACACCTGAGAGTCCTTCCAGAAACAATAACAACCACAAAAATAACAGGGACTAGGCCCTCCTCTGTACCCCCTCCCCACCTCCGTTTCCTAGGATGGACACATCTTTCAAGGGAAAAAAAACATGTCTCTGGGGTATTTCACAATATATTTTCTTTGTATAATGTTCTTAAGGAACAAGAAATAGTTTTTTATAAAACTTTAAAAAGGAAAAAAAAAGACCAGGCATTTATAACTGAGGGTATGAACTTATATCCACCAGGTCTCTTGTCCCTACACTTCATTTTCTTTGGAAGAAAATGATGTCTAAAGAACAATATAGAGGCATTTTTACATACATATTTAAATGAAAAAGGAAAATCGTGGTTTCTTAAATTGATAAGGATTAAGAATATTTTATTATAAATATAATATATGATTTTTTAACCTGTTTTGTTGCCTCATATGCTGTCTGGTTAATTTGTTTTCCTTCGTGCCAGAGGTGGGAAGGAAGGCTCTTTATCTGCTGAGTGTGCCTGAATCCACCCACCTTCGTGGTTTGGGGGCAGCATGGTCATTGTGGATGTTGGTTTTATGGAGTTGAGGGAACTTAAGATATAAGTTCACTCCCTCTGTTTTTCTTTGTGATTCAGTTTTTCAGAAATCTTTTTTTCTTCCTTTTCTCCCCAATGTGGAAATTACAAATCAAAGGCCTTTTTCTTTAATGTAAAGTGTATTTATTTAAAAAAAAATACAAAATAAACTACAAGTCTGTCTTTGTTTATGGCCTTTCCCTATTTTCTTTTACCCAAGGGGTGTGTCCCTTTTTTGCAGCTCTAGTGAGGCCATAGGGAAGACGCCTTCCAGGAGAGGCAGATCAGGGTGGTGGGAGAGCACGTTCTGCCCACAGAGGCATTCCAGGGAGGAGAGTAGCTTTGTCACAGTGTCTGCCCCTGTCCTGTAGCTCTCTCACAGGGAGGACCTGTCTTTGTAAGGGTAATGTGGAGAGAGGAGAGCCTCAGGGCCTTGGCCACTGTGGACACAGCTCTTTATCCTCATGTTCTGGATCCAGCAGGCTGCTCCCAAGTATAGATTTGGGAGCTGGAAAGGGAGGTGTTCTGGGAAGTTTTGGAGGAAGGAGCTGGCAAAGCTAAGGAGTGAAAGCATTTCGGCCGTTTGTGTAGCTGGGGTGACGGCCACTAATGTTTTCTGAAAGGGACTGTGACAGTGGACTTGAGCAGTCCTGGCAAGTTAGGGGTAGTGGGAGTTGGTGTGTGTTTGTAGAAAGATAACTTCAGAGGCCCCTAAAATTGGCCTGTGGTTAAACTGTGTAACCACCAGGCAGAGTACCAGGGACTTCTACCTTTTCGCTCACCCACTCCACCCTGTTTTCCTTCCCACAATAAATATAAGACCATAGTCTCTTTCTTTCTTTGATTTTGCCCAAGTAACAGCTGCTCAGTTTCTGTTACATAGGTATTATCCAGCTAAAGTGACGTTTCTCCCTTAACAGAGAGAAGAGGGGACAAATTTGGTTGTGAAGTAAACAAGACACACAAGATGACTAAAACTCTCCGGGGGCAGGTAAAGCCCTACTGGGCTCAGAAGCACTATAGAATATGCTGTACACACTGAGTGGGTCTGTGTCACACAGGTATTTCTTAATCCTCTGGAGAGCAGAGGACTCGGCTCTTTTGCTTCATGCCTTGATTTAATGGTAGTTAACACTTACACCAGTGGAATAGTCTGACTGTTGATATTGACTGCATCCTAAGAAAACAGGTTAACAATTAAGAAGTAGTAAAAGCACTATATTCTAGTCATTAACTCAATGGAGCCAGTCTCAACTCTGCTGGGAGCACCCACAGTTCTCTAAGGGGGAGATGGGGACTATAATAGGGCAGCAGAATTCGGGTTGGCTTGACAACACACCCTTAGGAACATGCCCTAAGGGGCTAAGGAAGGATCAGCCCTCTTCCTTATTCTACCAGGGCTCAAAATCTGAGTCACCTAGGAGGCAGCACGAGAACAGTGGCACACCACCAGGGAGGCACATTTTGCCTTCATGTCTTCAAGCAACACCTTAGACAGGACCTGAACCCCAGGTGGGGGCACTGGATACCTGAAGTAAGAGTTTTCTCACTGGGGCAGTCTCATAAGACCAGGGCATTGACCACCTGAGCTCCCCTCACTAGTGCTGGCCAAGGCCTTTCTGAGAGTTCACAGAACCTGCTAGGTCTTAAAAGCCAAAGGAAGGAAGTGGTTGAGGGCCAGGAAAGAGGGAAGGTCATGCCAGGGTGTTACTCCTCACCGAAACTTGGCAGTTCTTTTTGGGGCTATGGGGCACTTTTCTCTGAAGAGGGGTGGACAAGGCAAAGGTTGAAGTGACTTCTCCAGGCACATTTTCTAGCATGTTTCCTTTACTTGGTTCTGTCTCAGAAAGCTGGGAGGTAGATTCCGGGTCCTGAGCACCCGCTCCATGAAGGAAGATAGGTAGCCCAGAGAAGTTTTGGACTTACATACCAAGGCAACTCTGGCCTGTGACTCAGGCTTTTGTTGAAGATCTGCAGGAAAAACCCTGCAGTGTGCCTTCAACAAGACAAGACCCACTCCTGTTTCTGGCAGTACCAGCTATCCTGGAATGGTGGCGTGTCCTGCTGTACCCGACTGACTTGCTTAGGTACCTTGCAGCTGTGACCACAGCTCAAAAACAGGCAAATAAATAAGCATGTTTAACATGTCCTTGTGTTGCTGTTTTGTCATCGATGTGCTTTTTCTCTCGTGAGGCACTTTCCCGTCCATTCATCACCCGGGTGTCTACGAGAACACTGCCAAGTGTTCCTGTGGACCAGCGTGGCCTCCCCACAGCCTGCACTGAGCCCCAGCCTCTGCACAGGCACTTGCCTCAAATATCAGCTGTCACTCATGCTGCCTCATCCCAGCTTGGGTAAGGGACCAGTCCTGGAGAGAGGATGCCACGGCTAGCAGAACCCAGAGTTCCTGGTTATCTGGACGCTTATTCACTTACCAGAGCTTCTGTTTGCCTCAGCCCTGACAATGATCCCTGTTTGAATATCCAAGCTGCCATACCGACACTCTGAAGAATGGTATTTGGGGTGTTCCATGGTGACAACTGTGTGCTCTGGTTTTCCTCCCTGGCCTGCACTGTCTGCGCTACAATGAAGGCAGAATCTCACCCTCCCTCCCAGCTAGAGGGTACCTCCACATCCCTTTCCTCCCCAGCTGGCTTGAGTGGCTTCAAGCTCTTGCCCTACCCAACACCTCTGTGACTTGTGACCTTCTCCCCAAGAAAAATGTTTCCCAATGGTTTCCACCTCAATATCAGGGCACAAGGTGTAGGCACATGCTCTGATCTTGCACCTATGAAACTGTCATGTCAGTTACCAAGGGCATCCCCTAGTCCACTGTGTTCCCCTGTGGCTTTGTAAAAGTAGTGCAGTGTAGAGGTTGTGGCGCCCACAAAGCTCTAGGTACAACCAGGCACAGGCCTGTTCTATCACACAACAGCCCTGAACAACCAGAGAAAGCCAGAAATCACATTAAGTTCATGAGTAAATCCAAAGAACGCTGCCTCCAACCCTCCATTGCAGTATTTGGACTCCTGGGCCCCTGGGAATCTGAGGCAACTGTTCCAACAGACACTGGATATCCCTGGGCTGAGTGAGGCTAGAAAGGAGGCTGAATGAGAGGGCGTCCAGTCAGATCCGGGGCACTGAGACCCTTTGGCATCAACATTGCACTGCTGCTCCGTGTACAAGACTACACAGCTGCTGGCGGCTAACTCCTGCCAAACAGGCTCAAACTGATGATGGACACATAAGGTTTAGGGCAGAAAAACAAAAGCCATCACTAGCTGTTGGCCACAGGCCTTGGGGTCTCCCCCTCCCTCCCTTTGCATGGGCTGTACTCAGGCTTTTGTGGCAGGGTCCAGAGCACAAACTGAAGCTTGCCTGCTGTCAGCTAAGAGAAAAATAAATGAGTAGAGTCCGGACTCAAGCCTGAAGAACTGAAGGGCCAAGAGCAACCCGTGCAGCAGTGGTGCTGGAAAGACGACGTAGGGCATTCGTGTACATGCACTAGGGAAGTCTTATTCTTAGCTTGATTAAACCAGGACTCTGAACAGGTTTAAAAATCCATCCTCTGACAAAGGCTTTACTGACAACTTTCCATACAGTTGGTCAAAAAATAAAAAAATACAGAATCACAGCAGACAGTATCTTGTACACTAGAAATAAACATAACGAGTCCCTTCTCATTGTTTAAAAAAAAAAATCCCCCAAAACCTAAGAACGTTAGTTTTGGTGGTGGAAAGGACCTTGATCCCCACCCAAATGAACCAAAATAACCCAGGAGAGAATTCAAACCAAATTGGTAGGGTAGAGAGGGGATCAGATTTTAAAATAACTGCTTTTGTGACACAAACATGACGCCGAGAAAGGCTTGGGCTAGACAGTGTCTCTGACGATGACTATTACCATGTGTTCTTCTTCTAGCTTACCCAATGTCCTTAGTGCTGACTGGAGGTACTGCTGGGAAAACTCGCAGGGCGGAAAGGCATAGAGCATGCCTGTGCCGTCTCTGCCCTTGGACCCCCCCACTGGCAGGCTGATCACCCCTGCGGCCTGCTTCTGTTTCAAGTAGGAGACCAGGTTCCTGAGAAGCCGCCTCTGCAGACCTGGCTCCACTGTGGGCATCCCCTCAGTGCCAAGCCCACTGGGGGTTGCCTGGGTGGCTAAAAGGACTGCATAGCCGTTGGGGCTCCCCTGCTTGATGCGTCGCGTGACCTCGTCGAGCTTGGGTTGGTCCAGTCGAAGGCGCTGGGCGATCTTCAGCTGAGTCAGCTTGCTCCCAGAAGTGTGGTCTTTGAGGAGACTGCTGATCACCCCCTGATCCCCCTCTAAAATGTGCATAGATGTGGGGAAGCAGCTGTTTTTCAACACCAAAAGCCCATTCCAACCCAGCTGTAGCGTCTGAGCGTAATCTGAAAGATTCTTCAGCTTTTTGGTCTCATGTTTTGGCTCTTCGAGAGGCTTGGGGTCGGCCTCCGCGGTCCGGTGATTGCGCTCGCTGTCTCTTGCCTTCTTCCCGTGGGAAGAGTCTGCAGCCTCGTGGTGGTGGTGATGATGGCCCCGTTCCTCAGCTCCATGTCTGCTGTTGCTGAGGGAGTTGCTGCTGCACTCCTTGGTCCCTTCACTGGAGTGGTTCTCCTTGCGGCTGCGCTCAGGGGTGCGGTCGGAGCCCCGCTCTGACTGCTGCCCACTGCCCTTGGTCCTGCTCCGTTCCTCATACGGGGAGTGAGTTGATCTCCCACGGTCACTGGAAAGGCTCCTCCGTTTCCGCCTCTCTTCCCAGGGCTTGGGCAAACCACGGTCCCCATCTCCCCCCCAACGCTCACCACTCCGGCTGCGCACTGAGCGACTGTAGCCCTCAAGGCTGTTTCGGCGGTCGGAGCTTTTACTGGGGCTGGTCCAGTCCCCTTCTAAAAAGGTCCGGTCTCGGTCTGAGTACAAGAGGTGGGGGGGCGTCCTGTCCCGCACCAGGTCGGCGTCCAGGTTGCGGTGCCGGGTATATCCATCTGTTAGCAGCTCATAATGCACAGGGAGCGGCGAGGGCTGGTACTGCTGGGGGTACCGTGTCTCCTCTGCTTTGGCAAAATCCACGCGGAGCCTGCGGTCTGGTCCACCCAAGGGAAAGCCCCTCATTTTAGCACAGGCGGCCTGGGCTGCGTCCAAGCTCTCGTACTGGATATAGGCAAAGCTATCTCCTTTGACGTGATCAATGGTCCGAATGCTCCCAAAGCGGTCAAACTCCCGGGCCAGAGCCGCCAGTGAGGTGTTAGGTCCCAGGCCGCCCACCCAGAGACGGGTGGTGGGGTTGGCCTTGCCATAGCCTATCTTAATGGGGTTGCGACCAATCACTCGGCCTGACATGGCCACCTTGGCCCTATGGGCCATGTCCAGGTTTTGGAACTTGAGAAAGGCATAGGCACCGCCCTGGCCACGGGCAGGCCTCTTGATAACCACCTCCTCGATGATGCCGTATTTCTCGAAGGCTCGTCGCAGCTCCACCTCAGATACGCTGTGGTCCAGGTTCCCGATGAATAGGTTTCGCGTGGCCCGCTGGTCGTCCTCGGGCATCAGGTCCTCCTCGCACACAGCTGGGTAGCCATAGGGGCGCCCACGATCGTCGTACAGCCCGTAGTAGTCCAGGGCCCGCTCACGGGACAGTCCCACGGCGGCGGCGGCGGCGGCGGCATCCAGGGCAAAGGCTGCGGCGGCGTGGCGGGCGCGGGGCTCTCGCAGGGGCGGGGCAGCGACGGGGGACAGCGAGCGCTGTTTGTACTGGTAGCCTCCATGCAGCGGCAAGTAGCCGAGCGGGTCGGCGGGCGCGGGGGGCCCTGGGGGAGGCGTGGAAGCGGCGGCGCTGCTGCTGCTGCTTCGCCGGCTGCTCCCGCCGCCGCCGCCGCGCAGGTACACGGGCTCTACCTTAAGCGGGCGATCGTAGAGCAGCAGCTGGCGGGCCAGGGCGTGCTGGCGGGCCTCGCGCGCGTCCTGTGGATGCCGAAAGTTCACGTAGGCCACACGGCCCAGCTCAGGCGTGTGCGACAGGCGGAGGCTGATCTCGCCGAAGCGCTTGAACTGGTGGAAGAGCCTGTCCTCGAGGTGCTCGGCGGGCAGCGCTGGGCTCAGGCTGCTGATGAGGAGCGTCTTGTACTCAGGTGCAGCCGCGGAAGAGCCGGGACCCGTGGGCTCGGCCCCAGGCGGTGGCGGAGGCGGCGGCAGCGGAGACGCGCGGGGCGACAAGCCGGAGGCGCCCGGGTCCCCCGAGGCCTTCCCGCCGCGTCCCCCGCCGCCAGCGCCAGAGCCCGAGGAGCGGCCGCTGCTCGCACGGTGATTAGCATCCCCGGCGCCGCGGCTGTCGCGATGCCCGCCCCCGCCGCTTCCGCTGCCGCGGGGTTTGTCGCGGGCCCGCGCTGAAACCGGGTGCTTGGCGCCGCCAGAGGCCTTGTGCGCCGCCCGCCGCCCGCCCGCCTCCGCCTCCCGTTCGCGCTCCCGCGGACGCTTTGCCGACGATGACGAGCCGCGCCCGCTCGGGCTAGAGTCTCGCTCGCTCTGCCGCTTCATGGCGCTGGCGTGGCGGGCGGGCGGCCCGTAGGTTTCTCACAGCGGCGGCAGCGGCGGCGGCCGAGGAGGAAGCGCCCCCGGCGCCGCCATCTTGGACAAAAGGACTCGGCGCGGCGGCGGCGGCGGGGCGGGGCGGGAGCGGCGCCGAGGAGCCGGGCATTACGTTATCAAGCTGCGCCGACCGCGCCACGTGACTCTGCGGCAGGCGGGGCGAGATACGAGTCGGGCTGCGTCATCGTGCTGCGTCGCCCAGTGCCACGTGACCCCGTGAGCGCCAGGTGAGTGGGCAAGGGCCGCTCGCTCTTGCGCCACTGCGTGGCCCACATGAGCGACGGTTGAGGCTACGCGAAGTGAAGGGAACCCTGAGAGGTACGCAGAACGACCTAACGCTTTGTGCTCCCAGTCATGCTTCGCCGCTCTGGGTTTAGCTACCTCCTCCCGCAGGCGTTGGAGCCCGCGCTCATTGGAACAGGAAGGAGTGGCAGCTTCTTTGGGCGTCGGGGTCTGGGGCATTGACCCAGTCAGTGGTGTCTATGTAGTATCCCTTCAGTCCCAGGACTAGGCTTGAGCAAAGCCCTGTATCACCCTCCTTGGCATCTTCTGCCTGGGGTCTGGGGTAACTGCCCCAAGCCCTGTATCACCCTCCTTGGCATCTTCTGCCTGGGGTCCGGGGTAACTGCCCCAAGGACAAATGCATGCCTATCCCTAGGCCCTGTCTAGGACCCAAGGTCCACATTCCGGGTATCCTCCACGTGTAAGTTCACCTGCTGCAGTCTCCAAAAAGACCATGAGGACCGTGGTTGTAATGTAGGTAATAACCGAAAGCAGAGACAAGCCTGCAGTTGCAGTTGATGGAGTTGGAATAGACTCTTTAACGCCACTCTTTGGTCCCACCCTCTTCTGTGGGCATCTGGGCAGACAGCAGGCTGGAAAGGTAGAGCCACAGGAGCCAAGGATGAAGAGGCCAAACGCACAGATAGTAACAGTTATCACAGCTTGCCACGCTGACTCCTCGCTGGCCAGTTCAGCTTCAGGAGGACCTCTTCTCTCCACGTGAGGTGAGGGAAAGGGTGCCCGAGCCCATTGAGGAAGCTTTCATTCTCCAAGGACAGTTGTTACAGCCATGGTAGAACCTGACCCAATTTCTGGCACAGAATCCTTGCGATGGGGACGAGCACACTAAGTCTTCCCCTCGTCCCACAGTGAGAAAGCAGCTCAGGCAGGTGCAGGGGGAAAGGTCTTTGAAGAAAACAAGCTCCACGGTAGGCTGTAAGGCCTCCTAGAGGCAAACTGAGCTTAGGAGACACAAGCAAAGCCCTCTGAAGCAAGAGCAGTTCCATGGAAAGCACTGGTTCTTAGTCCCCTTTTCAGGTGGTGTCTACAGGCATGTTAATTGAGCCAAGGCTCACACTAACACCTGGGTTTCCTAAGCACCAACGCCACAGAGAGCGGCTTAGGAAGCACTCCAGAAAAGCCCTGGACCTCAACTATTAATTTAGGGTAAACAAAAGGCAAAAAGCAGCTGCCCACCCCCTCTTTTTTGCCAGTCTTGTAAAAACTGAAAGACATCAGAAGCTTGGGATGGACACTAGACCATGAGCCCAAAAGAGCAACTAGGTGGCCAGGCCAACAGCATCTTTAGAGATGTCAGCACTGACATGCAGTTATTGAAGCCATTCTTGCAGGAAACCCCACTTCACACCGTCTTGCTTGTACTGAGCCCCAGTGTAAGGCCCTCTTATGTATCCCAGACTCACTCCTCCTAGAGTGTGTGTGGCCCCCAGTTCTCTTGTGGGTAAGATAGACACTGTATTAAAGGGCAGGTTATCAAGCCCAGCCCTGCCTCAGGCTCCTTTTTGCTGAGGTGCCTGCTGCCCTCTAGTGGCATACACCGATGGTGTCAGCTGGCCCCAGGCCCCATGTCTTGCACCTGGTATTTTCAGCACTGGTGGGTTGAGGGACAAATGGGAATGAATATCCCCCAAAACCCTGAAACTGGAAAGCATAAACTGGTAGGATCCTCATGGAGCAAAACCCTATTTCAGTACTCACTTTAATTCTCCAAGAACAGCTAGAAATTTTTTTTCCTTTAATAAAAAAATCCCAGACACACTTTGAAGTCCTTGAGTATACCAGCAACAGAAGGAAGGGAAGCCCCTCATTAGGGTACTGTAGAGCCAGCATCATCAGGAAAGCTCCAGGCTTCACATCTGATCCCGTATTGTCAGGAGCCCACTTAAAAAATAAATTACAAAAAGGCTGTTTTGGGAACAAACAAACAGTTGAACTGTTTTTTTCCCCCTCAGGTGCAACAGAGATTGAGCACACTACAAATCAGTCCGTGCACTGGCTGCCTTGGGGGCATATTTAGGCATCAGTTCATTTATCGTCCGGATGTAGTCAGACTTTTCTGCACAGCCTTTGCATGTTTCCCCCCAGTCATCCAGAATCTTCTTCAGCTCTTTAACTCGGAGCTTCTTCAGGTCCACTGTGCTCAGGTCGATCTGCTTGTCTGGAGGAGAGAGCAGGGAGAGTCACTGACTCGGTGGGAGCAGCTGCAGTCCCCCAGTCGTCTCAATAGATCATTCCCTGCATGGCCAAACCGGCCCTACTGGTTGTAGAGGAAGAGACATTTCCAGACACATTTATAGGCGTGTCAGTGCCTACTGCCCCTGAAAGAGAGAACTAGCTTCCTCACCAGGAAGTCTGGCCTCATGTTGTCAGTTTCCACTACAGATAGGCAGTGTGGACATGGACAGGGACAGAGGCCACACTGTTTTTACAGGAGAAACGTAGTTCCCATCTTCCAAGTGCCTCTGACATAGTCACCACAGACTACTAACAGTGCCAGGCTGGTGACAGAGTGGCCCTGCTCAGGCCCTTGAGTTAGGAACTTACTCTCCATGGTCACAGTGACTTGGAGCCAACTGGACCTGTATCAGGATGACTCTCAGAAGGCACAAGTGGGTGAACACAGGTCCTTGGCCATTCAAGTCATAATAAAACATCAATACTGTTAAGTTTTACAGAAGAGGCCCTGACTGTTTCTGGACTGGGACTAAGTAAAACCAGAGTCTGAGTCAGCAAGAGCGATGCTGGAGTTCCCAACTCCTGGGCTTGCATGCTTGGACACAGCATTTCTTTTCAGAATCTTGAAGATCACTGGGCCTTCAGAGCTTGCAGCCAGGACTAGCCTGTTAAACCCAAGGTGTACCACGTCCCGCCTCTGCTCAAAAACTCCTAATGCTCCTAACTTCACTCAGATTAAAAGCCCTCACCAACCTGCAAGACTCTCTGACTTGCCAAGCCACTGGCCACCTTTATTCTGCCTGTATCCTCTGCCTGGAATGCTCTTCTATTAGCTGGTCTCTTGGCTAATCCTCACCTCCTTCAAAGTTTGCTGAAATGTCACATCCTCAATGAGGCCTATTCTGACCTCCACCCACTTCCATGCCTGAGCCCTCCAGCATTTAGCACCACCTGTCATATGATACAATCCACTCATGACTCTAGCTCATCACCTTCCTCTCCCAGAAGGGAAATAAACCCAGAAGGTGCACAACATGTGTTAAATAAGGACTGGCCATACTCACCATACTTTAGCTCACAAATCTGGCTGTCCTTCTTCTTAAGCTTCTCACAGATCTTCTCCACAGGGATGTGGTGGGCCAGAGGCTTTGATACCTCATTGATTATTTTGGTGGCTGCATCATCTGTGGCCCCAATATAGTAGCACTGCAGCAAGAAAGGACAATGCCTTCAGGAGGTGCTGCTTGAGAGCCATCGCCTCCAAAACACACTGACACCTTCAAACATCATCTCCCTGCCAGGGCTACTTTTTTTTTTTTTTTTTTTGAGACAGGGTCTCCCTGTTGCCCAGGCTGGAATGCAGTGGTACCATCATGGCTTCCTGCAGCTTCAACCTCCTGCATGGTGATCCTCCCCACTCAGCCTCCATGTTGGCTGGGTTTACTGGTGTGGGCCACCATGCCCAGCTAATTAAAAAATTTTTTTTGTTTTAGTTTTGCTGTCACTCAGGCTGGAGTGCAGTGGCATGATCTTGGCTCACTACAACCTCCGCCTCCCGGGTTCAAGCAATTCTCCCTGCCTCAGCCTCCCAAGTAGCTGGGATTACAGGCACCCACCACCACACCTGGCTAATTTTTGAATTTTTTAGAGATGGGGTTTTGCCATGTTGGCCAGGTTGGTCTTGAACTCCTGACCTCAGGTGAACTACTACGCCTAGCCTAAAAGTTTTTCTTTAGAGATAGGATCTCACCACGTTGCCCAGGCTGATTACCCTAAGCTCAAGCAATCCTCCCACTGTGGCCTCCTAAGGTGCCTAGGATAACAGGCATGAGCCACTGCACCTGGCCCACAGCCTTACTTTTTGGTGCCCTGCCTGTATTGGTAGTCAGATTCAGTCAGTGTAAACCCTGGATTCTTTTTTTTTTTTTTTTTTGAGACAAGAGTTTTGCACTGTTGCCCAGGCTGTATGCAGTGGCGCGATCTCGGCTCACTGCAACCTCCTCCTCCTGGGTTCAAGCAATTCTCCTGCCTCAGCCGCCCGAATAGCTGGGATTACAAGCACGCGCCACCATGCCCAGCTAATGTTTTGTAGTTTTAGTAGAGACGGGGTTTCACCATGTTGACCAGGATGGTCTCGATCTCTTGACCTCGTGATCCACCCGCCTCGGCCTCCCAAAGTGCTGGGATTACAGGCTTGAACCACCGCGCCCGGCCAGCCCTGGACTCTTAACACATGCTCAGACTGAGCTGACAGCCACCAAATGTTAAGTGTCACCAGGGTTCAAACCTTTAACAGAGACAAACCGGAGACTGTCAGGGAAATTAGTTAGAAAAGCCATTGCTTCACTAGGGCTCGTCTTGGATTTGGCCCTTGCCTATCCTGTGGGCACCCTGCCACCTTCTCCTGTCCGCATACACACCAAACTCCTTCTGGTCTCTGGGCACTCACACTGCTGTTCTCTGTCTGGGATGCTCTTACCCCACTTCAATAACCCTTCCTCAGAGAGACTTCTTGGCCACTCTAATTCAGCACCTCCTGGTCTATTTTCTTCATGACACCCAGCCACTGCATTATTTGTTTGCCCGATTGTCACTTTTTCCTCTGATATTCCGAATGCCCAGCACATAGTAGGTCCTTAATACTAACAGGATTAAAAAAAAAATCACAGTTGCAGAATATATGCCTGCTTGGGGAAGGACATAAAAGCATTTCAGTCTCACATTAGTTTATGGAGAGAGCTATTAGCTTCCTGAATAGAGAGGTGGGCAAGGCCTTTTATCTAAAGGCTGATGAGAGGGTTAACATGAGCCAGGGCCACCTGGGGGGAGGGAGTCACCAGCTACTCACCAACCGATTCTCTTTGCCTCTTGCTTCCCGGCAGAACTTTATAAGTTCGTTTTCAATAGTGGCTGGTGTGAATGTGACATCTCTGTCTTTGAGGTCCTGGTAAAATCTTCCCAGATAAGAAATACAAACTGGAAAAGAGGGACAGGAGACGCTCAGCAATCACCAAGCTGTTCCAATCCACCAGGAAGGAACTTCCTCAGCAATTTTACTAGGAGACACAGAGATGAATCATTAGAGGTGAGCTTCTCCATCACCGATTTTTCTCAGGTGCCTACAGGTAGACAGAATCCGGTTCCAGGTGGCGGGGGTCCCCTGGTACACCCAGAGCATCAAGGGACCAAGCATCACCCCAATAACCTATAAAAGACCTTTCCTTGCTCCTTTCATCAAGTTTAAGCCCATGGTGAACACGTGTCCTTGAGAGGGGACTCACTGTGACCTCATAAATAGAAAGACTAGAAGGTGAAGAGAAAACGATCAAAATACTGCTGCTAATTTCCAAATACAACAGCGGAACCAGAGGTGCAGCTTCGTGATCCCAAAAGACCGGGCGCAGCACCCAAGGCTAGCCCTGGGGCTCCCGACGGCGGACGGCGCTGCTCCCGGTAACCTCTGGATGGTAGTGGGGACAATAACTCAGGCGTGATGGAGATTTCAGGCCAAGTTTTCAATGGGATCTAGTCTTAACTTTTCCTCGTCGGACCAATGTTTTCTAGGACTAGGAAAGATTTACTAGGGCCGGCGTCGAGCCTCCTCATGCAGGCTCGCCGGGACCTGCCGTCGCCCCCGCCCCCGCCCGCTTGCCCCCAGCAGTCGGTGGTTTTGTGGGGTTCGGCGCCGCCGCTAGAACGGCCACGGAGCGCGGACCCCGGACCCCCGCACCTTCGCAGTCGCCCGGCCGCAGCGCCCGGCTGCCCGGCAGCACGCTCAAAGCCAGCGCCACCGCCAGCCCCTGCGTGGCCCACATCCTACTCCTCCTCCGCCGCCGCCGATGATCGACTGAACCGCACCCGCTGCGCCGCACCGCCTCCAAGTCCCGGTCGCGCGCCGTAGCTCCTCATTGGCAGATGGGCCTCCGTGCCCTCCCACACGCCACTACCCCATTGGTCCACGAGCCGCGGAGCCCAGACGGGCGGCTCCACGCTGCCCTCCCTCATTGGCTGGTGATGTCTCAGCCCTAGATAGTTGTCGGCCGCTGATTGAACGCGGGCCGGTCGCAGGAAGCGGCTACAGCTGCGACGGAAGCGGTATGGTCCGCCATCTTGGGTAAGGGCAGCGACTCGGGTTGAGGCCGAGTGTCGCTGGCTGAAGTGAGGTTCACTCACCGCCTTACGTCTGCTGAGTTGACCCGCGTACTCCCTGCCCTGGGCCCCAAACTCGCCCGAAAAACCCTGTGGATCTCCTCGCCCGGACCCGACTCGGGGTGCAGGAGTTCGGGGGTCAGCCAAAACAGGTTAGGCAGGGAGGGCCGGCGGCAGCAGGCAAGGCTCAAAGGTTTTTCTTTTTTCTTTTTTTTTTCTTCTTTCATTCACGGGGGCAGCAGGCCCAACCTTTGGGAGCCCACCTGCTGAACTTCCACCTGACCCGAGCCCGCCGTGCATAGGCTGACAGGCAAGTTGCGGGGTGGACGGTCTGCCGACCTCCGGAGGAAGGGCTCAAGGCGCGCCAAGTTCAAGGCTGCGCCGTCACTGTAGACCGCCCAGGGAAGCGCCGGAGCCGGATTTTCGGTGGAGGATTTGGGGTCGCCTCAGAGTGGGGAGGTGAGGTCGCCCCTCACCTCCCCTCTCTGCCGTCCTTACAAGCTCTGAAGCGTGGCCGTGTGGCTGTCCCGCCTCCTGCCTCCCCGCTAGGCCCTCGGGGTATCCCGCTGCAGAGGGGCCACCTGAGTGGGGTCCCGGGGATCAGCAGAGAAGCACTGGAGGATGTTTCCTTTTCGACTGCCCTCCTTTCAAGTGCCCTCCTGGCTGGCTGCCTGCCTTGAAGGCAGGACGCGGGAAGGGCTGGCTCTACTCAGCGCAAAAAGGACATGTCTATGGGGCTAAAAAGGGCTTGGAGCCCGTTGACAAGGGTTGGAGAGGGGCACATTCTCTGCTCCCATTCAGTGAATTCAGTGGATCAGTATCAGGTATTCATCTTTAATTCACATCACAGCAGTCAAGTAAGTGGGGGAAGGGGGAAAAAATCAAGTGGCAGATATTTACATCTAAAATTCACATTACTTGTTGGATTTTGAACATGCTACCACAATATATACAGTAAAATACCTCTTGGGACAATGGTACAAATTTTTTTTTTCCTTTAACTTTGCTTTTCTGGTACAGGTAAGATCATTTTTAAATTACTTTTCTTTAAACATGAATACACAAAAGAAATGGTTAGAAGTTTTCTTGTTTTAAATAAGCACAGAATGCGAGAGGTTAAAAACACATTTATAGTGCTGAATACCAATTGGACATCACATTCTATACATTTTTTGCTCAAATTCCTGTACAAATACACAGCATTCAAATAGGTATTTACAAATAAGCTTGAAAGAACGAAAATCAGTATTTTACAGTCTTTTCAAAGGGTTCTCAATCTCTGGCCTCCCATTTCCCCTCAGACTGACTGATTTTCCAACAAAAGGGATTTCAGAATGTGTCCTTTTCATTCAGTTAGGTAAAATGGAGAGGGAAAACAAACGATTACGCCTTGCATAAAGCGAAGCGAAATGAACCCATACTCCCCTCCCTACCTTTTGTGCCACCAAGTGGAGAAGGTAGCTGTTCTTCTGTGATGACTGCCTTGTCCAGGGATTTAGGTTCAGAAGTGCCTTAGAATCTAAAAATGCCCTCTTACTTAAGAATCAAATCCAAAGCTCACCCCAACCCTCTAACACTTCTGTGGACACCAAATGGTCCAGAGATTGAAGCTTGCAAATGAATGTAGGCTGAGAAGAGACGACTGACCCACATCCTCAGCAGCCTTCTGTCCCACTCTGCCTGGAGTGAGCCTGATGGTATCAGAAGGGACCCACACTGATTAAACCCCTAGAAAAACCCTGGAGGTGATTTAGACCTCCATCTTTCTCAGTAGGTTGGTAGCATTTCTGTTAAACAAGTTGGGGTTTGTTTACAAGAGAAAAACACCCTGACCATGGCCTTCACTGTCTGGAAAGATTGACATTGGAGAAGGGACGAGGGGCTCGGGCCGAGGGCCTGGCCGTGGAGGTCACACAGACCAGCAGAAGAGGAACGGGGCAACATGCCTGCTCAACAAGGCAGCCTAGTGACCATCATTAATGTGAACTCAAGCAAATAAAAGAAAAAAAATATTTTGTAGGCTTTTTTTTTTAAAGTAACTTAAAAGCACCCTAGTAAAGTACTACTATACCCACCTGACCCTATCCCCCCAAATAATAAACTGAGAGGAAAATCGGTGCCCTGACTTGAATGAGTTTCCTCTAAAGACACCACTGCTCTGCTTTATAGTTTCCTATAAAGACACCAACAGACTGGGCAGACTGGAGAAACTGCTCTCCTGCCATTCCCGAACCCTGAGTGGTGGTACCCACGGGCCTGGAGCGGGTTGCTGTATGTGGCCACTTGAGAGATGACAGTTTTACCTGCATGGCTATCTGCTTCCAAAGGAGAAGCCCCCTCCCACCTTCTTTACCCAGAAGCCTGCTGAACCTGACCACATGTCCTCAGGGCCTGGAAGCCTGGCTGGGGAGCCAACCCCATGGCTCCGAGGTAGTGCTGAAAATCCCTGATTCAGGAGCTGATGGTAGGCATTCTGGACGCTTCTGAAAGCTTTGAGGATTTCTGGTGCCTGCCACACCCCAGACTCACTTTTACAAGTCTCTCTATCACACAGGAAGGGGACCAGCTACCCCTAGGAGGAAGGTAGCTGGGACAGCCCCTCTAGCTCCACACCTCCACTCAAACCCCAGTGTGTGGGAGATAACCCTTGCAGATCCAGTCACCACTGGGGCTCCTGTGGGGCATGAGGTGTTTCAAGAATGGAAGGAAGCAAATGGTCAGAAATAATGTGATGGAGAGAAAAATCCAAGGTGGAGTAGGAGACGGCTGGCCCATTGAAGCCTGGCAGTGCCCTAGGCATGCAGTTAGGCCAGTCACATGCCTGAGCCAGCAGGTTGGTCCAGCCAGCCCCTCAATAGCACACTCCTGGATGGAAGAGGGACAGGTGGGCAGGCATTTGTGCAAAACAGCTGTGGCCCCTTTTCCCACCTGTGATATATCTACATGGTCCTTGCAATCCCTGAATGCAACCATGAACTCTTCTGTCCATACAGCAAAGGAAGAAGTCCTTAGTGCAATTTCCATTCTGTGCATCTCTACCCTGGAGGGAGGGCCTGGGCTTCTGCTCCAGGGCCCTGCAGTGCGGCAAAGTGATGCTGTCTGTGCAATTTCTCCATATAGCTCCACATGGTCCAGAACTGCAGGAGGAAGAAAGCATCTACTGCATAAAGGAAAGAAAGGAAAACCCATAGAAATGGAAATGTAAAAAAAATGAAATAAAAAGGGAAGCCACAACCCTTCATGCTGCTGTGGCCTCTACATGGCAACACATGAGTTCACGGCAGTAGAACGGAGACTTGGGGGTGGTTCTCTCCTGAGTGCCAAGCCTCTCTGGCTCCCTGGGGTGGGGCAAGGGGACTTGCTTTTCAGACCTGGAGTGGTTGGCAAGCTGCTTACTGAGGGTGGCATCCCAGCTGCCTCCTTGCCCCTCACTGCTCCCCTCGGCCGTGCTCCCAGGCCATGCGGGCCTGCTCCTCCTTAGTGCTCCCAGGAGGCAATGAAGCCTTGCGGTGCAGGCCTCTCGGCCTCTCAGTCTCTTCCCGCAGCAGCACCCCCTCATCGTGCTCCAGGGCTGGCAGGCGGGGGTGGTAGGGCTTGGGTGGCAGCGCAGGCGGGTCCATGGGGTCCTGAGGGATGACGCACCCCGGGGCTGAGTGGCTTCGGCAAGGCTGGGCCTTGATGGAGTCCAGGACGGCAGACTCAGAGAGGCTGTAGTGGACAGGGAGGTAGGGTGGCTCAAGATCTTCATCAGCATTCCAGGCCTGGCTTGGCATGGAGTCCATGGTGTCAGTGCGAGGTGGGGCCTCCGAGGAGTGCCCAAAGTTACTCTCACTCAAGGAGGACACGCCGCTGCTGGCACTGCCGGACAGCGTAGAGTTGCTGCCATCCAGGCCTGACTGGGGGCTTGTGGGGGAGGCTGGGATAGGGTGGAGAGGAGACTGCGAAGGAAAGGGTGGGCATGTTAGAATCCCTCTCTCCAGACAGGCTGACTTGCCTGCCATGGGAAGACCAAAAGCCTGCTTATGAATGGACCTTAAAATAACCCTCATCAACAGCATGTTTCTTGTTTCTTCAGCAACAAGCTCCCAGCTCCTCCCACCACCCTCAAGTAAGCCAGTGGAACTCCAGAATCATCTGCATTTCTGTGGCCAAAAAATGGCCCTGCACTGGCTGCTGGGCATTGGCACCCCCTGGTCCCAGGTCCCAGGCTGCTGTCTGTTGAGGGGGGCAGAAAGAACCCTGGTGGGCCATGGACCAGAGGAATGTATTCTGCTGCTAAAATTTGTGATAGACTAACTTAGTCTTTTCCAATTTGCAGACAAATTAACAGGAAATTTTACTCTAATGAGTTTTCATAAAGTTCTTGCTTTTACTGAATTCTAGTTTGAAATGCTGTCTGATCCACCACAGGAATGTTTGTTTAGCTAGTGAACTATGGTGTGTTGATACCATGGTGCTGGCTGAGAGCCCCCAGTTTTCCCAGAGCTCACTGCCCACACACTCTTAGTACTGTGTTGTTGTTGTTTCCAGGACCCTCTCATCTCCCTGCCCCCACCGCATTTGCTGCAGGACCCAAGTGTGCACCTGCAGCTCAAGTGTGGCTCTGGCCACCCTCAGCTTCTGCCAGGCTGGGGAGAGAGGTGAAGGGGAGAGCTCCAGTTCCTCTTGTAGACCCCAAGGGTGGTTCTAGAGCAGACGAGATGACTCATCTCACAGCCTGGTGGGGCTGCTGCTTCAGTACATTACCTTGCGCAAGGTCCGGGCAGGGAGGGCTGGGGGGGTATCACCCAGAGGGTGGTGGAAGGCGTCAAAGTGTAGGGAGTAATGACCTGCAAAAGGAAAAGAACCAGAGCCTCAGCTGGGGGCCCTACACAGGCTTCATGCCAGCACCATCTTGCTGGGCCAACTGGGCATGAGGAGTCCCCTGGGGACCCCTCAGCGCTGAAGGCTATGGAAAAACCTCTCTTTACATTGGCCTTCTCCAAAACACAGGCTGCTGGGGTAAAAGAAACCCATTCCACACAGGAATTCAGGAACGTTGAGTGCTTCAGAGTCTGTGGAACAGGCCTCAGGCAGCGGCAGCTCTAGCCCACTGCTAGGTGATGAGTCTGGTGAGCAGTGTGCCTGGCACAGTCAATTCCGTTGTCTTCAGCCTCCTGGTTG